AAAGACATACAAGAAAAAAACACACCATAATATTGGTTATAAAAACATGCCATAATATTAAGCATACGATGATGCTTATGATCTAAATTTAAATTATTAATGTAATATGCAAAATAACTACATACACATATAAATAGTGAGTTTTGTGCTACATTAGACCACTGTGTTCTTTCATAGCATATTGTTCTTCTTATGTACTTAAAAAAAACACACTCAAACCAATTCTACTAATTAAGCACTCCTTGGCCAGGAGCACACTTGGATCTCTGACAGTTCCTAGTTAAAGCCCAGTTTGTGGTTTTTTACGGCAAACCAAGACCCTCTTGTCTGCTTCAGTAAAACTGGCTGGTTTCATCCCTGGCATTATTCTGTATCTTCATCCCAACAAGTCACCGATTGTCTCTACCATGACTTAAGAGTTGTGCCAAAAATTTTGGGGGATCACTTTTGCTTGAGACAGTAATACCAGTGATAAAATTTTTCTTAATTTGGCTTTAGTTTATGACATATAATCTTGAGACTAAAAATAGGTTTTGCAATGAGATGATCATATAAGGGCAAAAGCAAGTAAATCAAAATGTCTGGATGAATTTGTGTATGTGTTTTGGTATATGATTTACTTTTTCTGTGTATGTTTTGTTAATTAGTTTACCACAAAGAAGGTAAAAGTACCATAAACAACATTTCACAAAATTACATGTCTAAAGTATACTTTTTAAAAATAATGCTACTTGATATGAATAGACTTTAGTGTTTCTTGAAATTTTGTTCACATTTTAACATGTCTAGAAACAGAAATTGAGGTTGAATCAAATATATTTAGTACTTGTATTAGTAAATCTACTTCATCTCCCTTTTTTATCTCCCCATCAAAAAAGAAATGACCTAAATATTTTACATTTGCTTCATACAGAATTTGAAAGATGTTTCATATTATTTTGATTTCGAAAATATATTACGCAAAATAACTGCTTGTTATCTCTTTATGGAATTTCAAACTAAGACTGAAAGGAAATGACAAACCATATAAAAATTAGAACCATTTTTGTCTGTTTGCATATGATTTAGTAGTGTCCCTTAACTAAAACTTTCAGTCTGTGACCTTGAGAAACCCAGAAAGTAAATAGAAACAGTAGAGAATTGAAGGTCATCCATCCTCTCTACCACTTTCTAAAAAGGGTATCAAATATTCATCCTCACAGGTACATGTCTTCGTAATTAAGGCAGATGGGAACTAAAGCAAAGGCAATTCAAAACGGGGGTGGGGGCACATGAAAGCAATAATTCTGAATCTTTGACATTTGTTTTGAAACTACCTTACTACCCTATACCCTTTACCATCTGTCTGTTATCCCTCCCAACACCCACCTCTGTCTTCCCACAGGGCTCCATTGTATGCAGTTCCTGTTTCTCAGGGGCGGAGCTGTGGGAGGCAGCCATGGGTGCCATAATAGGCACCTGCGGCCAGCACAATGGGCTGTGGGTGCTTGTGGGAGAGACAGATTGATGTATTGTGCATGGGGAGGAGGCCTGTCACTTGAATCCATGTGAACCCAGGCTTTGGGGGCAAGGGAGATTGACAGCTTTTGTAGGTTGCATTTCTTTTTCAAAGCTTGGCTTTAATAGACAGTAAGTTTGGGGCCCCAGGCTTTCACTCCCATAATTCTAACAGGGCAATCACGAGCATTCAGCATTTCTTTTTACCCCCCTTGTTCCGCATTAAATGATTTCAGTAAAGGAATGTGCAGCATTAATTAGAATTTGTTAGCAGATACCAAGGGGAAAAGTTTCTTCACAACAACTATAGGAGGTGTCATTTGTACAAAGACTTTTTTGTTTTCTTACCCCATTACATTATCACTGCAATATGTAAGGTAGTGATTCTTTTCATTTAAATTAAGTGGAAAGCTACTAAATCTTGTTTTATTCTCCAAAAAGAATAAGGTCCTTAACACTTATCTTTTAACTTCTTTCATTTCCTAAGGTTGGTGTTTACTTTTGCTTTCAGTCCAACCCATTTACTGGTCTGTGAGGTTGTGTATCCAGTTTTGTGTACCATTTAGCTCTTACAATTGCAGGCAACTCACTGTACTGATATATACGGATTGTTACCAGGTAAAAATAGCCACAAATAATATTGGAAATCATTGATATACCAGTTCCCTTTAAGTAATGGTACATCAAGAAGTGCCAAATATTAGAGTCTTTTAGGTCTGTAACTTAATGTTTTCAAAAACTTTTTTCTCTAGTTGCTATTTAACCTTACCCATGACATCAAAATTATGGAAGGATGGGGCAGAGACCAAGGAATGTTTTTTCCATAGAAAACTCATTCTTAAACTATGTAAAGTTTTTAAATGTCAACATCTCATACAGAGAGATAGCAACATTTTCTTCCAGTTAGTAAAACTGATCTCTTTGCTTTGTATCTATTATTTATTTTTTAGCATCTCAGACTTATTTACAATGGAATCTAATCTCAGATAGATATGTCTTCTCAGCATATTCTTTGGTATCTGGGGAGCTAATAAAACATTACTAACATTTTTTTTATGTGATTCTTCTAATATCTCTCCTGTATAAAACAATTTTCCCCCCAATGGAAAAAGTTGAAGGCTAATTGAATTAGAATTTTTCCATTTAATTGTTTTATTTAAATGTTTCAGGACAACAGTGAAAAATATTAAGTCTGTCATTAACGCTCAGAGAGAATATATTCCCACACAGTTGTCTAACGCTGTCTTTAATAATTTGATGCAATGGGTTTAAAAGTAGTGGGGTGATAATCATTAGCGTGTGTGATAGAAATTTCAGTGCTGGACTCAACATTTCACTGTGCAGGACATGAAAATTGCCAACTGGGGGCCAGTCAGCTCTGAGTACTAATTAACTAATTAATCAGGTGCTGAAACCAAGTGAATGGAGGATACCAGCCAGACAACTCAAGCCCAAGCAGAGGGTTGCACTCTTTAAAAGACACTGCACTCTTTCTTCTTGGTTTTTAACCCAATCAGAAATGGAAGAGAGAGGCGGCGGCGGGGGTGGGGGTTATGGTGTAAGCTTTTCACTTAGAAAAAAGTAAAATAAAAACATGTGCCTCTGATAATAGCTGTAAGGCACCCTGAGTAGGCCTGTGGCTGATTCTTCAGCCAAGAAGGGTTTTCAGTTTGGCCCGGGTCTGGAGGTAAAGCGAATTCTGCCTTCCTGTGGTTTACTTCTACAATACATAGCTATATATTCTTTTTAACATAGAAGAATGAGAAACATGTCTTTTTTGGGGAGCTGATCTTAGGTCTTTTGCCTCATCCTTCGTTTATGTAAATGAGAAGAGTCCAATTACACATATGGAAAAAAGGTTTAATGAATCGTGAAAAGCCCAGTTTGAAGAGAAAGGGTACAATCTCTCCTTATTTCCCTCCTCTTCCTCCCCTCCCCCTCCCTTTCACCCTTTCCTTACCCCTCCCTCTTGTCTTTTAGATTTAACTTAGAAATATGTATTTCTTTTAAGAATGATAAAGCCTAATAATGTGATCATTTTATTTGACATACTAATTTTAATACTTCAGAATTATCAAACATTTTTTTCTAGAAGATTAAAATTTATATTTGTAAGGCTTTCTGTATACTTAACAAATGTTCCACACCAGAAACTATAAAATTCTGACTTTCCTCCCCTAAATTTCAAAAAAATGATTACAAGTCAGTTCTCCCCGCATTTGATGTTATTCTTGGCTCAGTTTTAATTTCTTTTGTTTGTTTTGGAATTGTCTTCAGTGAAAACGGATTTCAACATTATAAGGGAACTAATACCAAATCCAAAGAAAAGACAATACTTTCCTATCTTTGTAGTTTAGTTTGGTATTGCATTTAACTAGCTGAAATTTTAGGGTGTTAGAAATTAGGCAATTCTTATTTTACTTTCTTTGCAAAAAGAATCTAAATTTTGAACTGCAGTAGAAAGTTCTGTTTGAGCTTTCAATTATTTTTTTCTCCTTTTCTTAATGTTGGGGTATTGAGTAGTTGAAAGTGGAATACACAGAACCCCTCCTCCACCCCACCCCCCAATTTTTAAAATGATATAAACTTTTTAAGAAGACTAAGGAAATCAGTGCCAGGTCTGGTCATCACTCTTGGAATTTCATATGTATGCAACTAGTTCCAAAGAAATGTTGTGCAGGAACAGCAGAGGGCTTCTCAACCACTACATTCAAGTGCTTTGCAGAGATCTTCAAGTACTCTGCAGAGACCTAGTTCCAACCACCTCACTGGGCACCTTGGGGAAACAGGCCCAAGAGGCCGAGAAGGGGGCACTTTTCTAGTGTGATCTTTTCTCTACCTCTATAAACACTGTCTGATTCATGTCACAATTTTTTTTTAAGTGTGGAAGACAATGCCAAAGAGTCCATATCGCTTGTCTAGTTCACAGAAGAAACGGGTCTTTCCACGGTACCCCTCAGCCTCCCTGGATCAGCACCCGAGATGAGACAGACACCGTGAAGTTGCCCCATAATCCTCTGTTACAACGCGGGATGTAAAATTTCATCAGCTCATTTGGATAAAGCCTACTAATCTCCCAAACCATGTGTGCAAAGGGAGCCCCCGCGCTCGGCGAGCGCAGCGTGGAGGAAGCGCTGAGGCGGGCCACCTCGGAGCCTTTAGGGGCAAGCGCAGCGCTAGGGAGTGTTGGGGCGGAGCAGCCAGCCCAGGCCTGTACTAGGGAGGCGGGGAGGCCTTGGCGCCGCTAGGGGACAGCTTAGCAAGCGAGTCCCGAGCGTGGAAGCAGGGGGCGCAGCGCGCCGGCGGCTGTGGGGTTACCTCCGCGGCGGCACAGCTGCGAGCGCCTTGTTGTCCGAGGTTGGAGGGGAGGGTAGAGGGGCGGGCCGGCGGGGCGGGCCAGGGCGTGGACCAGGGCCTCAGGAGGCACTGGCCAGAGCAGTTGGCTTCTCGGCCCCCGCCGCCCAAGCGCCAGCCCAGCAGCGCCTGCCAGAGGTGAGCTGCGGTGGAGTGGAGGTGGAGGTGAAGGGGCAGGAGCCGCAGTCAGCAGCGCAGAAGATAGTAGAGGAAGGCGCGCGGCCTGGGGGAAGAGAAGGATGGAGAAGCAGCAGAAGGACTATGAGGCTGAGGTCACCGAGCCTTGGTTTTCTAAGTGGGAGCGCCAGTGTCTTGCCGAGGTGGAGCAGGAAGAGCAGCTTTCCCCGGAGCTGCAGGAGGAGGCAGCTGCTGATGCGGCGGGGCTCAAGATCGAGCGGCAGAAGCTCTGGAACCTCTTTCAAATCTCAGCCACCGCCGTGGCCCAGCTCTACAAAGATTCTGGGTGCCAACAGCCAGGACTCTCTATGTGGGACCCCTTCCAGAATGCGGCCATGGCCGTGACCAGCCTCTACAAAGAGAGCGGGGATGCCTACCAGCGAAGTTTTGAACTGGGCGTCCAGGTTGGCTATCAGCGTCGTGTGAGAGACGTGCTGGAGTGGGTGAAGAAGGGTAGAAGCACCATTCTCCGGGAAGACCTCATAAGCTTCCTCTGTGGCAAAGTACCCCCCACCCCTACGCCGCCACGCCCCTTCCGGACGTCCCCTAGATCATCCGCCGCTGCCTCCACCCAGGCTGCTGCCACTGAGACCAGCGCACCTGTGGACGTCGACCTGCAGCCCTTCCATGAGGCCATTGCCCTCCATGGCCTCAATGGCGCCATGGCAAGCGTCAGCATGCGATCTGGCGCTCCTGGTTCCCCATCTCAAGATGGAGGTGTTGCCAGCAGTGGGCGTCGGAAAAGTAGCTTTCTGGAAGATGATTCGAACTTCTTGGGCCCAGAAGAACTGGCTGTCAGCCTGGACAGTGGAGGAATCCGCAAGCGCACCTCCGCCCAGTTTGGTGATGCCACCACAGACTCTCCATCCCACAAGCGCAACCGAATGGTCTAAACTGCCACCTTGGTTGACCAACATCCACAAACTTATTGCTGAACGGTCAACTCCATCATCAACTTGCTTGTTGAGACCGTACTGGAGACTTAAAGATTTATCAAGTTTACCATAAAGAAAACTTAAAAGTATTCTAGAAGAGGCCTCCTATGACTCTGACTATCCAAAAAAATATAATTCCATTACAGAACATCAAATATCACATAGTTAGCAAGATCACTTAAACTTTAAAGCAAAACATATCCAGTGAGAGCAGGAGCCTGGTTTATCTTGTTCAAGTTGTATTTCTTAGCACCTTGTACAGTTGTTGGTGCTCAGTAAATGTTTGTTGAATGAATAAATGTGACCTTTAAATTCTTAAAGGGAAAATACATGGAAGTTTATTTGATTATGGAAAATTTTATTCTTTCTTGTTCAGGTTGTTTGTTTTGATAGTCGTTGCCAATTCATGTACATTGTACCAAAATGTAAGATTAGACATATTTATGAAACCTGGAGTCATCTGGTTTTACTGAACTACATCATGCACCCAATTTCTAGAAAAACAAAACAAAACAAAACAAAAACATGGAAACCTAATATATGTTAGGTTGTGATTTGCTTTGAAAAACAGTTTATTTTCGTGTTGGTGGTGTAATAAGTGATGGGCTGAGTCAGTGCTCACTTTAAGAAAAGGAAACCAAATAATATGATGTCCTTGGTGGCCTTTTGCTTATGAATGTAAAAGGTTTCTCTGAAGTCCTAGTAGGTTCTATTTTAGAGTAGCAGACGACTTAGCATGCACTGTTTTGTTTTTTTTTTTTTTTAAGGGAATACCATGGCATAATAAAATACATGCTTGCTACTGAAAGGTACAATAGTAGAACCATAGCTCCACAAAGTAACTGGACGATATTGTGCAAGACAGTTAATATTCATTGGCCCCAGTTTTTTATGTAAATATAGCTATGTGTCTGGTAGGGTCATTTCAAACAGCAGATGCAGTTCATATTTCTAGTGTCCACAGCAGTGCTTAGCTCACTGAATATTTTCCCTCTATAAATACAAGTCACTCAAACATCAAAGTCCATAATATTTTAGCAAAGGCAGCAAAATAAATTGAGCAGTCAGCAAATAAAACCCTGGTATTATACCTGGACTAAAAATTACTGTTATGTAGTATAAACTTTCCTAAATAACACAGAATCTTTATTAATTGTAAATATGTTGAGCTCATAATTTAGGATTAACATTCTGAATAAATACTATGGTATCCTTAGAGTTCCTGAAATTGCCTGAGGAGTTGCCTGAAAGGATATGAGGAAGAAGAAAAATACAGAAAGAATACGGAAGTAAAGGTCCTAAGGTATCTAAAAGGCTAAAGTGGTTTTGAATAAGAGTGGGGTGCTGTGGACGTACATCTGGTAGGGTAGAGATGGTGGAAGTGATATTATGGAAGTAGAAAGACATGAAAAAGCTCGTGTTTCCTCTAGAGTCTTCCAAAGAGCATGCATAACACATTATAGGTTTACTAAAGGCACCTTGCCTCTAAGTTCACATCAGAGTTGTTCTTGCTTGATTAACATGGCTGTAGATAAAATTTGTAGTTGACCAATATGTTAAAAAATTAGACTATAAAATGAATTCCCTGATAACGAAAAAGGGAAAGAAACAACTTAGTATTGCATTCTGTAAACACTGAGGCACTGTCTTAGATCCTGAAAAGAGATGTAAATCATAAAAACAATCTTTATCCTCAAAGAGATTATGCTACCTTGGATGATAAAATATGTAGCCAAGCAGGGACTTCTAGCTGTGGGAAAAGCCTTGGAGAGAGCTGCATCAAACTCAAAAGAGGTTCTTCTTGCACATAGAGTCACAGCTTCTGGAAGAGGTGACATTTAAATTGGGTCCAGACAAATGAATAGCAGAGGAACCGTCTTTGGAAGATTACCTTAGTATCATTTGAGTAGGAAAAATATAGTGAGTAGGAGAGGTGAGGCCAAAGTTTAGAGGGTCTCAAATGACTACCCATTGATTCTATCTGAGTTCAAGCAGTATTTTGCATTATCCAAGTACCACTATCCAAGCAGTACTTTGGGAAGACTGGATTTGGCAGGAGTCCTGCTGTACAGAAGCAAGATAGTGGAGCAAGGGCAGTTCAACATCTCACAGAATGTTCTTTTCTGGGGCTATTACCCTTTGGTTAACCCAGGCTGGCGCGATAGACATTCTGATAAGACTTTCTGTAGGAAACCTTTGTTCACACCACTCTTCCAAGCCATAAACTATACAAGGATCAAAAGCACATCAAGTGAGTTCTGTGACACATCTTCAAGCCTGAGAAAGCATTCAGTTCCAGTTGCAGTTTCTTTCTGAAGATATGAGCCCCCCCCTTTTCTCTCTGCTTCTACTGCTTGAGGGCACTCTTCTAGTAGAATCATTGGGAGCATTCTGGGTACACATTTAACTGAGAAACAACTGTAGTTTTAACAGGTACGTAGGGGAGGGTTGGAAGAAGGTATGCCATTATGACAGCAAGTATTTTGTTTGTCTTGTTTCCTTTGGTAATTCCGTATTACAGGTACAGTATCTGATTAATATGGACACATAATGCATATATTTTAAGGGGGTTGATGAATAATAGAGCCATCAGCTCAATCCAGGTGTAAGAAAATCCCTTCCCTCATTCCAGAAAGGTGCTTGATGTCCATACCCTTATTCCTAGATGATTACCTCCTTCATGCCTTTACTTTCATTTCCAATGATGAGATTCAGCTTTTTTTGTCCCATCTGTGACCACCTCCATGATGAGAGAGAAAGAGAGAGAGAGAGACACGCAGCACTCTTGGTTATCTTGTGAATTTGGCACTTTCAGAGCCACCTTCCAGCTGACTTAAAACCTTTTTGAGAGGGTCCCACAAAGCTACCATCTTCAGGAAGAAATTATAAGTATGAAGAATGAAGTCTGAATGTGGCTCTGATCCTGAGATATGTGATTGATTCAAGGAGCTTATTTTAAATTGGTCACAGTAGGAAAACTTTCTGTCTGTCTAAAGAAGATAGATAGCATCTTTCTCATCATGTTACATATTTTGTACATTTTCTTTGTAGCTTCAAGAAAAAAATAAATGTGTGAACCATGTGTAGTGGCACATGTGTTTAATACAGCACTCAAGAGACAGAGTCAGGAGGATCTTTCTGAGTTAACTTTCAGGCCAGCCTGATCTACACGCCAGGCCACTAGTTACTGCATGGTAAAACTCTATCTCATAAAACAACAAAGATAGCTCTTAATATGTGAAATTTCCAAATTTTCCTCTATATAGAAGCCTGAGATAATGCTTGGTTCCTAACCTTTAGCTGAGTATTTTATCTATTAAACCACTGCATTCTCATAAAAATTACAAACTAACTTGATAGTTTAAAAATATTGCAAGTAGATCACTCTAGCTCTTATATAAAATGTGGAGTAGGTACAGTAGTGAAGGATGGGTTTCTCAGTAGCCTAGGTCTTTATTTGGCAGTCTATAAAGATTTATATTTGATCTTCTATTAACAATGTACGATAAAATCTTCACAAATTATAAGATCCTATCCATAGTAGGAGCAACTATTTATTTTACAAATGGAGGAGCTGACCTCCCCTAGAGTCCCACAATCACTTATTGGTAAATTCTGTTACTCTCTTTACTGTACCTCCCTTAGTTATACTGTGCATGGCCTTTTAAATGTACATGTTGATGGTGGGATGCAGATGAGGAACTTGTATTATGAAGTAACTCTAACTCAGCACTATGTTGTATTGATTTAGGGGGTACTGTTTGATGTTTTCATTCATGGAGCATGTCACCACCTTGTCATCAATATGGCAAATCTAGCTACCAACCAAGACAGACCAGTTGAAGTTTTCTGTCTACTTTTGAAAAAGTCATCATTGTAGTTGGATCCTTTTACCTGAACTGGAATGCCTCCATCTTTTGTCCTAGAGGGTCAGGCCACTCCAAGCCGTTAACTTTTTTTCTTTCTTGAATACCTTTCTTGCCTTTCCATGTCAGGATACAATATTCTTTTTCCTCAAAAATCTTCACTTTGGTGGGGGGTCATCATTATAATTGTCAGTTTGTGGATTTATGTATTGCATTGAAATGTAAATTATTCATTCTCATTCCAAGTGCTCAGTTCTGTAGGGAAGTATGAGGAAACCCTGTGACTCCATATGTAGGTTGGTAAAGCAAATTCAGTATTATGCTGTACTTTTATGTTTTTAATAAAAAAGAAGACTTGCCACAAAATTATATTAGAGGAAAAAAAGCTCAAAGCATACTTTCAGAGAAGCAGTTTATTATGTGAAGCACCAAATATGCTTCCCCAAAAAACTATAGCAAATACGTTATTGAACTTCATTTTAATTTGATGTAAGATTACCATGTGATGGGCATTGATGGAAGAACAGGGTACCTACATTAAGCCTCAACTTTTCCAGTAACTAGCTGACCTTGCATAAGCCTTTTTTTTTTTTTTTTTTGGTATATGAAACAACCACTGGTTTGCTAAATGGTGTTTTAGGTCTCCCCAAACTCTGTGCTCTAAACCTATGATGCTCTACAAGCTTCTTGCAGTAAGGACTGCCAGCATGAAATTATTCAAAGCTAGGAAATTGCCTAGGTTGCTATGGTATGTCTATCTGTGGGATGGAAACTTGTGCACATAGTTCAGCACTCTCTTTCTTTTGGTTCCATTTTTCACACTAGGTCAAAAATAAGAAAAAAATAAAAACCTGTATGCTTTAGACTCACAGGCATGTCCAAGTTTTGACACTGTGACACAACATTGTTATCTATAAAACACTACATGTTCTAGTTGCTAAAAATAATTGGATAATGTTTTAAGAAAGTTTATGGTTTTCTGCCAGATCCCATTTGTATCTACCTTGGAGTGCATGCTGTCCTCAGGAAGCAGGTTAGACATAGCTGCTACACATTGTACAGCCAAATATGATCCAGGCACTTTCTTTTCCAAAAATGCTATGTCAGAGCCTTTTTTTTTTTTTAGCCAGATAGAATTTGAGATGCAGTGCACAAAAGGGGAGACTTGGAGGTTTGGCAGTTTTACAGATTCCAACTATGAAAAGAACTGGTATGGAAACCTCTCTGATAAACAAACTGTTCTCTGCACTTAAAGAACTTTGAGATGAACCAAAGTCTTCTTCGGTAGCTGCTAGGCAGGGCTTTCTGCAGACAGCTTCAAATTCCTCAGAGTGCAGTGGGGTTTCTGCTCTGCTTCTATTGTAGCCTAATTAGAGGCAATTGGCTGTCCAGCTCAGAGGAATAATCTTTCTGC